TGAGTTATTTTCAAAATCTGTTTGCAAACACCAGGTCTCAGTTAAACAAATTAAGTTAAAAGAATTTTCCGTTTTACAAATAAAATTTATAAAATTTCAAAATTCTTTTTTAAACCCTGTATATTTACGTGGGCTACATTAAGATAATCACTTAATGATAAAAAAATTATTAAAAAAATGCTAACTTTCTTTGGATAAAAGCTTTCAAATTCTGGGGAATTAATTTCATCAAAATAATTTGTATCCGGATTGGATTCATCGTCTAAGTTTAAAGTATTGGTTTGGAATAAATTAAATATTTTTTCGAATTCATTATTAACGGTACCCATTTTAAATTTAGTTAATCCTGGAAATAAATGATGTACGACAAAATAAAAATCTATTCGGAAGACTTTGTGATTAACTTATTGTATGCCCCTTTAGCAAATTTACTTATTGTATGCCTCTTTAGCAAATTTACCTGATAGTTGCAGTTCTTTTGCTTGTGAAAACAGCTGTTTTTGAATGTTTATTGTTCTTTCACTGTAGTCTTCGTTAATAAATAATTTTTCGTTCCACAGCTTTATCTTTTCATATTATGACAAAATGCTTTCGCGATCTTTAATGTTGAGAAATTTTGTAACGATTGTTCTTTTTCTTTTTGTGTCTTAGTTTTTTTTCTTTCCTGTACGATGAGCTCTTTCTATCTGTAAATCCCTATCAATACCTATTTTTTCTTTAAGTAATAACTTAATTTTTTCCTCACCATTTTCCCAAGCTTCTCCCTCCGTTTTGTCTATCCCCTCGAACCTAAGTTTATTTCTACGACTTCTGTCTTCCAACTCAGCCATCTTGTCATTTATTAATTTACTCTCTTGTTTTGTTAAATTTATTTTAGTTTGCTCTTGTAATTTTGTTTTATTTGCAGCTAAAGTTTCTTTGATTTCTTTGTATTTTTCACTTAGGAAATCCTTAGTTTTGGTTGCTTCATTTAGCTCTAGTTTAAGTTGTATATTCTCTTCTTTAAAAAATATTAGTTCGGTTTCAAATTTTTGAAATCTTTCGTGCATCTCTAATAATTCTTTGTACTGCGGAAAAAGTAATATTCTAATATGCTAATATTAAACAAATCTTTTATTGGGATGAACATAAATATAAGGGTAGATGATTTGTCATATTTAAAATATAGTCGTTATTTAAAACAAAATATTTTTTTTTTTTTTTATTATTTTTTTTTTTTTTTGTGCGTTTATGAATGATACTATAAATAATATTTGAAGTCTTTATAGTTTTCATTCATTTTGTTTTAAATTAATTTTATGCTATAATTTTTTATTTTGTTTTATTTTAGATTAATACAAGTTGATAAAACTGTTTGTCTTGAAGGTTTTTTAATATTAACCTTAGATAAGTCAAATTATACAAACTTTTAAATTTAATATTTTTGGATAATACTGCCCAGCGGGCATTTGTTTTTAAAAGTTACGTTCTAAATGTATTTTAAATGTCTTTTAAACGTTTTCTAAACGTTCTTCCATAAAGAACGTTTAAAAAGCGTTTAAAAAACGTTTAAAAGACATTTAGAACGTAACTTTTAAAAACAAATGCCCGTAGGGTATGTTGTACACGTAAAGGCCACGGTAAAAAAGAAAGAGGTTTGTTTTTTGCAAGATGACACATCAAAGTTTTGTGATTGAACAAGATGGCGTATTAAATTTTCGTGTTTCATTTGTGTCATTTCTCTTTTTGCTATTTTTTGAGAAATTTTTTGAAAAATGAGGGACGAATCCAAGTTTATACTTCAGCATAAATATCAAATTTTGGAATATGTTTACTTGATAGACATTTAATGCTTTCAAGTGTTTAAAAAGTGGTTCAGCATGTGAGAATTTATCATTTTTATGAACAATTCTAGCTGCATGTTTTTGATTTTGATAAAGTGGGAATAATTTAGATTTACGAGTACTTTTCCATGTAGTATATGCATATATGTAATAGCTTCGTATTAATGAGTAATAAGGGTGCTTCACTTTTTTTTTCGGAAAGTATAGGGCTAATTTTGTATCCCAATGTTTTTCGAAATTTTTTAATATGATTTATTTATGTGCGCTTTCCATGACATGTTTTTGTCAATAAGGTATGTTAGTGCTAATTTTTCTGTGTTTAATGATAGTTCATTATATTTAAACCAGTTAATTAGTTTTTCAAATTCAATATTTGTAGTTTCAAAAATTTCGGTAATAAATTTTAAAATATGAAATAAATTGGTTTTATCTGCAAGCATATGACATTTAACTTATTTGAGTTTATTGAGAGATCATAAATTTATATTAAAAGCAGCAAGGTATGCCGTAGTATAATGTAGTTTTTCTCAAGAACGGAAGCTTGAGAGACACTACATCTTATTTTAGGTAATTTTAAATTTTTTATTATAAGCAATTAGACGTTGCTGTCTGTTCATCAAAAAATATTTGAACCATTAAAAAGCGACACTTTTTATCCCATATTTTTCCATCCTATTAAGTAGGATGATATGGTCTACGGTGTCAAATGCTTTATATAATTATACACATACTCAAAGTACAAATTTTTTTAACTCAAAGGAGCCATTTCTGTTGTTTATAAAACTTAAAAGTGCATGCTCGGTTGAGAGTTGATTCGGAAACTAATTTGTTTTTCATTCAAATTTTTTATTTACTTAATGTTCTTTGTCGCCTGTTTATTTTTAAAGTTGAAGGATTTTAAATACTTTTGTTATTTGTTTTTAAGTAAACCTTATTTTATTCACATAAATACTTAAGTTTGTATTTCTTTATATCTTTAAACAGTTTAACTACGGTTTATGAACTATTTTCTTTTTAGTTATGCTGTTAAAAGCAAACGATGTTGCAAACGATGTTGCAAACGATGTTGCAAAAAAATTAAATTTTAAAAGTATATTAGCAATCATTTTGCAAACGGGAAACACGTCGCAACCATTTTTTTTGACTAAGGCAATGAGACCCTACCTACTTAATAATTGTACTTTTATAATAAAACTTCTTAATTTCAATTAAAATGCATATTTAATTTTAACCATAAATTTTATTGTTTTTAATTCTATGAAAAAGAACGTAAACTATTTTTTGTGGTTTAAATCAATAATTTAAAAAGTTTTAATTTCTGAAGTTTTTTATCTATAAAGCTTGCAAAAAACTGTGTTACATTGTTTCCTGCCTAGGATGATAAATGCTAGATCTTCTTAACTCTATGTATAGGTTCTTACTCGTTCTTCCTTGATAGTAACTGCTCCTATTATCTCCCAATTATGATTTATCTTGAAAACTCAGCCTAATAGTTCTGAGGCCGGCTGGTTTCCTTAACTCTGTGGTAGCTATAAGAGAGGCTTGTTCCATTAACAGTTATCAGTTATTATAAGTTGCAGTTTTCAGGATAATACTAATCATTTACCTTCTCTCCTTGATAAAGTAGAACTGCTTTCAAAAATGTTTTCCTTTATTTAGACTCTGATGGCGATAATAGAATTATAGAACAGACTCCAGAATCTGATGGCGATAATAGTCTTGCAATTCAAGTTAAACAAGTTAACCCATTGTTAAACATTCAAGTTACTCCAGCTTCCGTTATTAAAGTCATTTCTCAATTAAACGCTTCTACAACTTGTGGTCCATGACAAACATTCCTCTCTTGCAAAAGTGTTCTCCATAACTCTCTTTGATTTTTTCCTAAAAATTCTGATCCCTTAAACTATCGTCCAATCAGTCTTCTCCGTATTATTGGCAAGGTGTTTGAGTATAATCTACAAATTTATATCATCAACTCTTAAGTATTAAATATTACTCTCAGAAAATAAATATTGTTTCCGATATTCTCGTTTGATGGCTGGTTTAATAACTGCTGTAAAACTGAATGATTCTATTGTGCATTAAATGAAGTTGGCGAGACAAGAGCTATTGCACTTGACATATCTAAAGTTTTTGATAAAGTTTCTGCTGGTCTTTTCCATAAACTTAATTCATATATCTGGGAAAACTTTTTAGATTATCAAAAAAAAATTTTAAAAAAACTGCCGTTTTCAAGTCATTCTCGAAGGCCAACATTTCCAGTAACTTCTAGGATACCTCTAGATACTGTTCTAGGTTCTGTATTACTTCATGTCTACATTAAAGATCTTCCTGAAAATCTTTGTTTTGTCCCGACAATTCTTTGTTTTCTAGTAACTCCTAACTTACTATTGGTTGTTAATAGCCTTGTTGAGAATGAATAAGATTAAAATAAACATTTTGCGGCATCTTGTGAATAGCGGTAAAAATTAGTTTAAACGTATTTTAACCAAAAATTTAATGATATTTTGATGACCATATCAAAAATATATAATTTCTAGCTCTTTTGTTTAACGTAAACTTGTACCGTACTAGGAATTACAATTAAAAATAAGACGTAATCCATTGATCAGTGAATCCATGTGCAACATTAGATTAGCCTGCGCGTTATTTTTCCCAACACAGTATTATAAAGATCTTTTAACATTGGTTACATAAGGTTAACTACGAAGTAAAAAGTGTTATTTAAATGAAAAAAACGCAAACAAAATTTGCTACGTTTAAGCTTGGTTTCCAATTTGCTTCAATTGTCGTCTTATTTTCTTGTGCAAATTTTGTTGTAAAAAATGATTTGTTTCTATTCCTGCTCTAATTGTTTTACAATATTAAGTTTGTTGTACAACTGACGTTATGCAACTCTTTTGTTGTACAACTGACGTTATGCAACTCTTTTGTTGTACAACTGACGTTATGCAACGCTTTTGTAGTACAACTGAAGTTATGCGACTCTTTTAGGAAAAAAAAATGATTTATAGATGCGAAATTTTATGCTAATTACAAAACTTAAAAATCACAAATTAGCTTACAAATATTTTTGTAAAATTTTAGGTTAAACAATTTTAAAATTTTGAAAATTAGAAAAAAACAAAAGCTTTTTCACCTTACTGTTTGCTACACAGCATGTAATAAACTGGATGATTTGATAGTATAGATTATAGAGTTTTTTTCTACTTAATACAAATTGCTAAATTTTTAAAACATAGTTTTAGAAACCTAATAAAAGTAAAAATAACCACGTTTTATTTGTGTTTTATTTGGTCTTTTGAGTTTATTGAAATTGAATGCAAGCTTGTTCAATATTTATTTGATTTTTAATGATAGTTGCTTCATAATACTAGATCTTTTCTCGCTACTATATGAAGTCGTGGGATAAGAAAGTTTTCGGCTTCTCTTAAATTTTCCAAAATATAAAAAAGTCCTTATAATTTGCTTCCGGTAAACAGTATGCATGTTTGAGTAAATAAAAATGTTGGCACAACTATTTGCTGTATGAGCAACTTTTAACCATGAATTTATTTGAGTTAAAGTGGGATTTGAATACATCTTGCTCTTTGTCGACAAAATAAATAAATTGTATCCTAAATAAAACAACTCTCTAGGGAAAACGAGCAAAGTAAACACAACTTCCATTGTAAATAAAACACTCATAATTTTTTTAGACTGCTTCAGACGTTCGACTCGATCTTCCATTCTCTTAAAACTTGTGTTACGTTTTCTTAACGTTTTGAAGATTTTTATGTTAGTAAAACTAAACACCGTTGCAAACAAACATAGACGTAATATTATAAAAATGCAGTTTGGTACTCCATAGCTGTATTCGCTTGGGTACGGAATTTTACATATCTTTAGTGTTGGATCAAACTTCAGTGCAATAATGTAAGGAAAGTAAAAACAGGTTGATATTAAAATATTTATTATAAATGCTATACTAACAGTTTTTCGTGATAACGTTCCGCGGAACGGAGTAACTATTGCTATATATCTATCAATCGCAAATGTTATAAGCAAACCAGATGAAATTGATGTCATTATTGGACCAACTGTAGGGAAAACATGACAACCAAAGTTACCAAAATCCCATCGACTATAGTTCGTTAACGTCCAATATATAAACAATGATGGATTTAGTATTGAAGACAATAGATCAGTTATGCCCAAATAAAGAATTAGCAACTCTGTTGTTGAGCGATGATTTGACTTTAACTTACGTCCAAATACATATATAACAAATAAGTTTCCAATTACTCCTATACTTAATATCAGCGTAAATGCTGTAACAAGAAGCCCTTCTGAAGCAAGGTCTGCATTTTTTAATGGTCTAGACGTTGTAACTTCTGTATAATTTGGTGTCATGATAGATTTAAATAAATTTTCTATTTATAGCAATAAAATAATAAATATACATATATAAATAACTGTTATGAAATTGATTTATTAAAAAAAAAAAAAAATCAAAAAAAACATTCAAAAACATTAACGGTGTTGACTATACTTCAACAAATGTTAAATTTCGAATATTTGGGAAAAAATATTAAGCAGGTAAAAAATGTTACAGACAACCTCTAAAATAGAAAAGTTAAGTTCTAAATATTGGTACATTACTTATAATTATAAAAGGGGTTATATGAAATAACATAACTCATATAACCCATTTAAATTTGTCCCCAAGTTTTAATTCTTAAAAAGATATAGTCTATCAGCTAATTTAATATTTTTAAAACTATTTTTTTTTATCTGTAATCATTTAGTTTATAAATCTTGTTGCAATTAAGTATATATATATATATATATATATATATATATATATATATATATATATATATATATATATATATATATATATATATATATATATATATATATATTCTTTTTAATACAATTTGAAAAAAGCTAGAGCCTAGTCTTTAGTACCACAGTCTTTTAGAATCCAGTTTCCAGTTGTTTTTTTGTTATTTAGGTGCCCCAAGAAGTCCTTACGGTCTTGTCACATAGCATCGCGGAAGTGCATTTAACGAGGAAGTTCACGCCTCCTTCCAGAAACCTCCCTACAGAACATAAGTCTAAAGGACTCTTAAAAGTAAGTTAAAGAGTTTCAAGGAAAAAAAAATGTATTTGGTAACGATCAATACTGCTTGAATATTTACTATTAGCTTTAAACATTATATATAATTCAAATATTCAATTAAAACAATTAGACATCCACTATAGCAGCCTTTAAGCTCTAAAATTTACTATAATTTAGTTATACTTTTTTATTCAACATACGTGAAGTTTTGTTTTTAATATTTTTACCAATATTTCAACTTAAATTATATTATAATATATTAGTTTAATTTTAAATAATTAATAGACCTTTATATAGTAATTTATGAAAATTTATGAAACAAATTATAAGTAGTTATATTTTTAATATAATTATAGTTCAGTTAAATTATAAAGTAAATGATGGAAATGCAATGTCCAAAAAATTATATTATTATTTAATTATTTGTAAGTAGATATATGGTGTGAGATTTACAACTTTAAACCGATAATAAGAGTTGTATACTCACTCCACAACATTTTTAAAAACATTTAAAAGTTATATCATAATGTTTACAGAACAGCAAATAAGGCAAATATCATAAAAGATAGGAATAAAATAGAACAACCGTGGTGCAGTGGTTAGAGCGTTTGCTTTATAGGCATAAAATCCAGGTTCGAAACGAGCTTTGGACATATTTCGCGTCACGGTTAGGAAGAAGGCGTGAACTTTCTAGTTAAATGCACTACCGTGGTGCTCTGTTACAAGACCATTAGGACTCCTTGGCACCTAAATAACAAATTTATAAAAAAAAAAAAAAAAAACCTGAGTCATAAGCAGATCCAGCTTTTTTTTTGTTACGTTTATATGTTTGTATTCATGTCAAATAAAATTTCTTTGCAAACAGTTGTGATGATTGAAGTCTGCAAAAAGATTTTCTAAAAACCCCCTCTGCTTTTACTTCCTTCCCTCTCTGCCCCAAACGTGAGAGAAACATGTTTATAAAGTATTTTTTTAACTTTTTTTTTTTATTATTAGTACTCTTTACTAAACAACTAAACAAGATGTTAAAACATTTTTTTTTCTTAAATAAATTAATATCTATCAATAAATTTTAAACTCCATACAAAAGTCTCTTAACGTTCAAACACCAAAAAATGCGCTTCTCAACACCCCCTCCCCCTCCACACTCCTCCCCTTCCCCCTACACCCCTCCTACCTACTCTTGAGTAGTAAAGAAATTTGTTTGTTTTTTAATTAGTTGAAACTGAATTACAGTCTTGGGTAGTATTTGACCATTATACTACTAAAAAAATTTCAAGGTGGTTCATCCACTTTCAAAAAATTTACTTTAAAATTATAAATACAAAATTAAAATAAGAATGACACAATTTAAAACAAATTATTATAGCCCAAAATTTAAAACAAATTTTGATTGTTCAACTTTTGCCATACTTATTCCATACATATTACGTAAAAGTGAGTATGTATAAGATCAAGTTTTATTTATCTTTTTGTTTTAAAACTTTTGCATTATATTTCTAAAAGGTATAAAAAAAAGTTGTAAACCAGAATTGTGCATTGAAGATACATAGAATATTTTAAAAATAATTTTCTACAGATTTACAAAAATTTTTAAGAAAAAAGTCTATTAAAAAATTTTTAAAGATACTTTGACGTCATATTTACTTGGGTTTATTACTCTAGTCAAAAAGTAGCAAAAGCACTCTGGAAATTTCAACTCATCATATGGTCCCAAACTGAGAATATCACGTTTTAAAATTTCATATAATGTTATAAAAAAAATTTTTAATAAATTCAATTATTTAAAAATAGGAAAAAAAAATGCTACTTTCCATTTTAATTTTTAATTGGGAGAGGTAATTAAATGATTTTATAGGGGAGGGCGGTCTCTGGAAGTATGACAAGTTATTGATAAGGGTAAGGAAGGGAGGTAAAAATGCCAAAAACTTATTGACATCATTAACTGACAGTCCTCTATATGGTTTCTCTACGATCAATATTCATCAAGCAATGTTTACAAAACCTTTGAATAATTCTCTCTAAGTATTGCTTTATTTTATTAAAAATCAATTCCAATACTTTCAATAGAAGATTGACTGTTTTGCAATGTCCTTGTTTTGTTAAAAAAACAAAATAAGGTCATTGCTCTCACGTCCGGGGTAGAGAGGGAGGAAACGTTTTTGAGATGTTTTTTGTCCCAATAACCGCAATAACCTCCAATAACCGCAATTTTTTGCAAAACATTCTTATATGACATAAATATGAACATTTTTGTGTTTTGAGTTTGCACAATGTCTTAAAGTACTATATCTAAAACATAAAAAATCTTTCTCCTTCCCCACCGACCTAAAAAATGAAATCCTTGACCCCAAAAACCCTAATTTTATTTATAAAATTGTAGATACATCTATAAACAGTTTATATCTCGTTTTCATTTTTCTTAGGCGTATTACACAGTCTTAATCAAATGTAAACCTTTTACAAAATAGATCAACATTATAATATAATATGTGATACATATAATATATAGTTATATATAAAAAGTATACTTAATAATATGTAATGGAATTTCAAGTTTTATGTTGATAAGCTATCATCAGTCATATCTAATTTTTTTGAATAAAAATAAGCTGTTAAAAATGCTAAGAGCAACAACAGAAAGTTGAAACAAAGCAAAAAAGAAGCTTAAAAACTGGTTAACCGCAGTTTCAAATTAAGCGAGAAGAAATTTGTTTCTATGCACTTGAGAATAATTTCTTTTGATTTAATTTTTGCATAATATAATTTTCTGCTTTTAATTAGCAGGATTTTATGGCATAAAATTTTTAACCGAAACACAATAAAATAAAGTTATATTCTAAGTTTGAAATCTATCTTAAATGCGCATAATTGTCAAATTATAAAAAAACAACACAGTTTTAACTAAAAGAAGCTGCATCTGTCTTAATAAAATTTCTGCCTTTTATCAAGCCAATGAGCATGCCCCAAGCTGATGTACGCTCCAATGATTCTGCTCACACTTCTATCAATAAGATTTAGATCAGCATAAGTGAAAATTAAAAGAAATTTTGAAATAAAAACCACGAAATTTTATTCTTCAAAAATCCAAATTTTTCAAATAACAAGAGTGAAATAATAGAAACAAATTTCCTCCTCCCCATTTCATTACGGGAAATAAGTTCTTTCTCGTTCAACGACACATACAAAAAAGTTTATTTAATTAATGACAAATGATTATGCTAACAGTCATAATTATGCTAAATAATGATGATTACTCAATGACTATACTTTAAATATTTATATAAACAACTGTCAAAGTAGCTAGTCTACATATCCAACTCAAATTGACTAGTTTTAATTAGTTTATTTAAATTGCAGTAAATTATATAAAGTTAAAAAATATTACATTTTATACAAATAAAAATACAAATAAACTTCTATTACTTGCTTTAAATTGATTTCAACCATTTTTCATACAAAGTTACATTTTAAAAAAGTGTTTTAAATTTCTTTCTAAAAAGCATATTATTAGAGAAACAAACTACGATTGAGACTTAATAAAAAACATGCATAAGAACCATGAATAGAAAAATCATAAACAAGATAGATAAGATCTAGGAGGGATAATTAAAACAAGATTTAAAGGCACGTTTTTCAAAAAAAAAAGTTTTTTTTTTGAACTAATGTCTAAGAGCGAGAAAAAAAGCTTTTATAATTAAACAAAAGCTTTTTTTTATATTTATAAAAATTATACAAAATATACCATGAATTGTAACTTTTCAGTACAAATTATTAATAATAATTCATTTAGTTTTTGATTTTAATTAAAATAAGATTTAAAGGCACGTTTTTCAAAAAAAAAAGTTTTTTTTTTGAACGAATGTCTAAGAGCGAGAAAAAAAGCTTTTATAATTAAACGAAAGCTTTTTTTTATATTTATAAAAATTATACAAAATATACCATGAATTGTAACTTTTCAGTACAAATTATTAATAATAATTCATTTAGTTTTTGATTTTAACTAATTTAATTACGAAGCGTAAATATCATTAAACATAACAAAAAATTTTAATATAAAATTATTTTTGGATTACCAGAAAACATACCACCTTGGAGACAATGTATTGATGATGAAATCGCATAAATAATACTTCCATTGGATAAAAATAACCTCCATTTTATAAAGAATCGGAATTTTATATAAAACGCAGGATATTAAATTAGGATCGCATACTAATAGGGTTATACAGTTTATTTAGTATAAAAAAAGACATATTTAATAAGTACATTAAATTAAGTAATCTATCAGTTAATTTATAATATAAGATATGATAAAATGAAAAAAGTAAATGCATTGTATAGTTTTATCTAAGTTATAAAATTAAAAAAATTCGCTATGACGTTATGATAATGTAGAACCAAAGAGATAATGGTGTAGTGGTAGAGCATTTGCCTCATAAACAAGAAGTTTCGAGTTCGATCCCCACCACGCCCCTGGTAGTACCGCGCTCAACTTATTTCTCTGCGCAGTGGCCTTGTTTGTCAAGGTTTGTGTTTCGGAGTTATAGAGTTGAATTAACATTTAAAAAAAGTAAAAAAAAGACCCAGCCGGCATTAGGTTCTAAAAAGACGTCTATTAAAAGTACAAAAGACGTTCAAAACGTTTTTGAACATTTAGAAGACGTCTTTTTAGAAACAAATGCCGGCTGGAAATATTTGCACCCTAAAAAAATATATATTTTGGACTCTGTATTTATTCTTTGTTACAATATTTTAATTTATATTTGTAAATCAAAATCTTTATATTTGTTGTGCAAAATCAAAAGCAGCATTTTAAGTTTGATCTAATTAGGTCAAATGACTTTAAAATTAAATTTAAAAAACAATAAATTTAAGTTAACTTTAAACCCGTATTTAATGAATTTTTCAACATAAGTTTCATCCTCAAATTTGATTTAAATAATTTTCGAGTTATCTAAATATAGGGTCGAATAGAACTTATGAAAGCTGAGCATTGGGGAGTTGAGCTAAAAGATTGTAACTTGTTCCATTAAGTGATGATATTTTCCCCATTTATTGAACTTTATATTAGGCTATTTTGTTTTCTAAGTCTTAACGTTTGCTTTGTAACATGAGCTATTTGTCACCTTGTACATTAACAAACTTCATTAATTAACTTGCCCCATAAAGCTACTTAACTAACGCCTCTAAGACATATTTAACACAGTAAACTTTAGGCAATAATTTTTCAAACAAATCGAAAAAAGTTTAGTTTTTTAACTTATCTTTAGGAGAGCTAACTTGAAAAAATATTTCTTTTACATACTTGTTAACAGATTTGTAGCGCGCATAGTATTTTTATTTATAAATTTTTATAGTTAAATTTTAAAGTGATTTTTATTCATGTGAAACTAGCTCATAAGAAAAAGTATAAAAATTTCAGTTTGATGGGGTCGAAAATTTTGGAGTGATAAAAATGTCGGCTTAAATGCAAGATTGGGTCATATTTTGTCAATTTTCCAGAATGAAAACTCAAATGCTTCCATTCATCTTTATATTTATTTTTACCTATAATTTTACTTGTTATACAGTATAAAATTAGCACGCAAAAAAATAGGCACAAACAAAAAAAAAGCCCGGGTTAGCGAAAAAAAAAGCAATTGCTTTGAATCAGCATTCTTGGAGTGATTGCTCAGCTTTACGAGAATAAAAATTTGAACAGTTTTGCTCAAATTTTTATTCATGTAAATCTGAGCCATTACTCAAAAAAAGCAATTGTTTTTTTTATTCACCTGACTAAAACAACAAATACTAACACAAACAATGAAACTTAATAAAGACCCGTTTCCAAATAAAAAAAATAAAAAAGCAAAGTACATCAAATACACTCTCAATAACAAAATGCAACTAATAATATTAAATATCCTAGTGGGCACGGTACGTAAGAAAGACGCCTTTTAAACGCCTTGAACGACAGTCGCAATTAAATGTTAAACTTCTTTTTTTTTAGTAATGGTTAAAAAATAGTAATTTGAGTAATAAGTCTATTTTTAGTTAGTAACAGTTGTTTTTAACAAGTGTTATTTTAAAATATATTATTTTATAGAAGCAATAGTTATATTAATTTTATAAAATAAATTCTACTTTAGTAATTACCGAATTAATATTATAACGGAATTATCATTTACTGTGTAAATGATAAAAATAAAAATTACGCTTCTGAAACTGCTGTAAATAATTCAACATTATTTACAAAATAAAACAAATTGATCTTCAAATAATAATCAAATGTCTGGGTATAGAATTATAGATGTTGAAAAATTACCTGAAACAAAATACAAAGAAAAGATAAAAAATTTCAAGTGATTTATATATAATATTTTAAAAATAGTTAAATACATTGTTTATATGTGATATGACGGAGGTAATAATATAGTGATACCCTAATGAAGTTTGTTAAAAAATTATTTTTAAATTTACTTTTTCTGTTCAAATAATGAAGCACCATGACTCATTTCAACTTCAATGCAAAACAAACTTTCACATTTCATTTGTTAAAAAGGTTTAAAATCAATTTAAAACTAATTAAAAATTCCAAAAAAACAAATTTAATATTTTAAACTTAAGACAAAGATAAATTAAAATATAATTCATTTTTAAATATTTGCATTTATTGAGCTTTACCAGAATAAAATTCAAACAAGTATAAATTTTATAACACTGAGTATAATAATAACAGTAGGAAAATTCAATTCAAAAAAAGCTAAAAAACAACGCCAAATAATAATGTTTTAGAGATAAGAAAAAACGAAAATCAAAGGATAAGTTACCCAACATATTTTATTCAAACATTATAAACCTAATCTGATAATTTGCACACATTATAACTGACGCTATAATGACGCTAAACGATAAAGGTAATTATTCAAACTAACCTTTCATTAATTATGATAAGAACTTTAAAGTTTCATTTACACAAAGTAAAAATGCTAGTTTAATATGTTAAAGTTTAATTATTATTTTTTTTAAACACTCAACAAAAATATTAACTTTAATATCCCAAAATTAAAATTAATTAAATGTATTAATATTTACCAAATATATTGCATATATATGCATTATCTAGAATATATATTACAATATATGCATTACCTAGAAAGATAAAAGACATGCAAACACACTTTTAAATCAACTTAATTATAATTAGATGTGCCTGTTTATGACGTAAATCGTCATACAACAATACAAACTTGATATCTAAAAGAAAATCTTGAAGATCTTGTCGCCGGAACCATGTAACATAAAACATAAAAAATTTGTTTGAAAAATACAATTTTTTTAAATGAACAAATTCAATCATTTTATTTCTCAAAAATATTTTAATATGCGGGGTCGTCATTGTTCCGGTGTTCACTGAGAAGAGCGCAATGCAAAAGTTTAGCGCTTTTAGCTTAAAAATATTTTAATTTTATTAGGTTTAGCTAATAAAATTAAAATATTATTATCTAAAGTAAATAAAATTTAAATTTTTGTAGCATTCTCCTGCGGTAAAACTCGGACTATAGCAGCCCTATCAGTAAGTTGAAAATTCTAATTTTTCTTTAAAAATAAAAAAAAGGAAATTGAAAAATCAAGTTTGAGACAACTTATTCCATAGATAAGATGCTCAATTGTTTATAAAGTTACGTGCGAAAAAACACGGCCAATTATGGTTATTTTAAAAAACTAGGAAATTCGAGGCCTCTTTTCTTTGCCAATCATTTAGATATATTATTTGCATTTATTTTGAGAAGTGAAGTGAAGCCGGAGAACCAAAAGAGTTTTAAATAAAAATTTTCTAAAGGAATTTTTTTTTTAAATGATTTGGCAGCTATCTTTACGTAATCAGGGATTCGAGGAATCAGGGAATCAGTAATTTGTTATATTATTATGTAAGTACAAGAGATATTGTATATCTGTAATACTTCTTATTATAAATTACTAAGTTTTCTTACATTTCAAGCATTTACCGGTTTTACCGGTTTACCAACATTTTACCGGTTCTTGAACTTTTAATCTAATGAATGAGAATCTTAACGAAACAGTTTTTACAATCCCATATTTAAATTGAATTTGTTAAATAAAATGGCAAGGCGCAACGTTAAAGACAATCACAATAAGCTTATGTTTGGGGAACTCATGGAAAAACAGCATATCCAGGTTCATTTCGATTTTGCTATCATCATTTACTTTACAAAAAGTTATATTTCATCCCCAAGGCGAGTCATCTTTTTTTAATCTTATTTAGGTACTCCAAGAAGTCCTTACGGTCTTATCACAAAGCCCGCGGATTAGCATTTGGTTAAAAGTAAACGCCTCCTTCCTAACCGATGTTGTAAGACTTGCCCAGAGCTGGAGTTTGAACCACGGATCCTTTGTTTCTGAGGCAAGTGCGCTACCACTGGGCCACGGCTGCTCAATCATCGCTCAGTCATCTACTCATCATGGGGCAACAATTTGGTTAAAGCTAAAGCAATGAATTTAAAGCTGAGTTATTTCCCATATTCGTTTTATAATCAGTTTTTTAAAACAATAATCAATGAAACTTATACATAAAAAGTTTATGCATAAACTTTATACATAAAACTTCGAAAATAAAAATTATAAATAATATTGATGAAGAAAAACAACAGCAGGTTTTCATATGCTGACAGTTGGCATAGTTGCAGCTGTAGTAGCATCGTAAAAATATTTTTTAAAAGTGTATACTGTAATTATATCAATTATTTCTTGCGCTTAAACTATTCCAACAGTTTTTAAAAAAAGTGCTGACGTTCTGGGTAACCTGTAGTTTTTTTTAATTGTATGCTGAGTTTGGTAACGAAGTGTCAACGCAACAATTTTTTTTAAACAAAATTTTAAACAATCTTCTAATTTCTTCAACAGCGTTTTGCTGTGTCAAAACCTGATGGTTATATTAAAGATTTATATAATTTATTTTTTGCAATAAATTAAAATAGTAATAAATTATTTAAAACTATAATTTTTTAGTAGTATAAACAAAGCAAGCTAATATGCACATGACCATGTGCATTGCACGTAACCACATGCACATGACCACGTAAATTTATTTTATAGCTCATCTATGAAAACAATTTTTTTACTTTTTTATAAATAAAATCTCATTATAACTTATTTTTGTCTATCATAATCTGGCACCCTTAATATCTCGGCGCCTGGGGCACGTTTCCCCCTTTCGCCCCTCAGCGGTCATGGTTTATAGTTCATATTTTTATAACCAATAAGAGTATATGCTTTTGGAATCATTGTCAAAGATTCAAAGACTAAAATTGAGACTTTCCTACCAATATTAAAATTAGCCACTGCATTATACACTCTATATACTAATTGACTTGATGATATAAACTTTGTTTTAGGTAAACTTTGTTTTAGGTCTCAGATTGTGCTATTAAAACTTTTTGTGACATACCATGTAAGCACTTTTCCAACTGTTTGTCAGCACTTCCCCGAAGATTAGTTTGATTCTAAAAATAATATCTGCTAGCACTAGTCTTGATCCTGCTAGTAAACCTGGTTCAAGTTTATAAGTAATTGTGGCATTGGCCTTATCTCTATTATATTTGCACAAACTTAGCTCCTACTTGGCAATATAGAAAATACAAACTATTTTTCTTGTTTGAGGCAACATAGTAAAGAAATGCCAGGGTACCTGCTTTTAAAGAATCTAAATTCCTAACATAAGTTTTAATCACCAAACCAAAATAACATTGCAACCTACCAATTGTGGTATCTGTTAATTCCATACCGATATTTTAAAGTTGTAAAACAACACAAAGGATTTTCCATCGTATTGAACAAGTGAGTTTTTTCAAAATATCAGGTAATTTTTCAACATCTATAATTCTATACCCAGACATTTGATTATTATTTGAAGATCAATTTGTTTTATTTTGTAAATAATGTTGATTTATTTACAGCAGTTTCAGAAGCGTAATTTTTATTTTTATCATTTACACAGTAAATGATAAAAATAAAAATTATGCTTTTGCTTTGCTGAACAAGAAGTGCAACAGAATGGAGCATCCTAACTCAAATAACGCTTTTCAAAACAGCTTTTAGAAAAAAATTTATGACAGGAAAATAATGCTTTCAATAAATCAAATTAATAAATTAAATCACCTTATGAAACCTAAAATGTCTGCAGTTTAGAATAACTTTTATGGAAAATAAGTTACAGAAAGGAAATTTATGGTAACTTTTATATCTAAAAAACTCAAACTAAAATTTTTTTTTTGATATTATTAGAGGGTGGGGTAAGGGCTTTTATCTTGAGCTCTTTTACACGGCAATTTTCATTAAACTTAATGCGCAATTTTGATTTTTTATCTAACTTTATATTAAACATTAAACTCAGCAAGAGAAAACTCTTGATCCCTTTTGTTTCGTTTATTCGACAAGTTTAGCGTTGCGTAATTTGTGGATTATTATTTTATAATTGTCATTAAAATTATGTTTTAAATGAAGTTAAAAACGTACCTCGCATACCTTTCGAATTTAATCTCTTTATTAGAATTTCGAAAGAAAATTTTAAATAAAATTTTAAAAGAAAGTTTAGAAGTATTTACATTATATTTAAGTATTCCGAAAAAAATATGAAAAATAACTTGTTAATGCCATTCCACAGGATTTTTTTTTATCGACATATTTATAAATGATTAACTTAGTTGTATATAGCTAGAAAAGACTTAATAGATGAAGGGCTTTCAATATGAGAAGTTAAGTGGATTTGAAGTTTTGCATATTTTGTGCCAGAATAACTCATGATTTTTTGACAAAACGCACTTAGGGCTGAAAAATTTGCTCTGAAATGGCACCAAAAGAAAAAAAAGAAAATATCAAAATCCAAGCGTAAAAATTAAAACTAAATATACTCAAGGTTAAATAAACTAATATAATTATTTTCTACACAAAAATCCTAAAAACCGATTCTTTATCAAAAAAATAAAAAAATATATAAATTAATATTTGCTTCAAATACAGAAAAGCCTTTACTTGCTTTTTTCACATGGTAACCTTTTAAAAAAAATTTTTTTTTTTTTAAATAAGTTGACCTTAAAGTTTTTAAGGGCTTAGAACTAAGAAATTATGCATAAATAAAAAAAATTCCTTATCCTTTTTTTTAATCTATATGAATATTTTCTAACAAGTTTGATGTGTTTTCTATATAATGTTTTATGACAGATTATCTATATAATGTTTTATGTCAACTTTTGGAGCCTAGAGTAAATGAAAGCTCCTCCAAATCATGAATGCATTTAAGTTGCGCTGTTTTAAACTCGAGTTAGAATATAAACAATTTACAAAACCTATCGCTGATGCTCCAAAAAAATTTTAAGGAAGAAGTTAATTTTTTTTTATTGATTTCGCACGCCAACAATTCAGGATGTTCCAAAAAAACTCGCGATGCTTATTCCAAAATTTAATAAGAAGCATTTTAACAACAAACTTTTAATAATTAAAAAATTATTTTGTATTTTAAATAATTTGGTTTGAGTATTTTTCATTTTGCATTTTTAAACACTTTTGCTTGAAAGTATTTTGTATTAGTATTTAATTACTTGTTCGATCTAATATTTATTTTTTTTACTTTAACTGCGATCCACAAAATACTTTATGGGATTTAAAGTTTTATAATGGGAGAAAAGGTTTAGTATGAGATTTTTACTACCGCGTTTTTTTTTTACTCCTCAGTAAAAAGCTTATATTAAATTTCTACACCCAAGTAAAAATCTCATACTAAACCTTTACTCCCATTATAAAATTTTAAATCCTATAAGGTATTTTGTGGTAAAATGTATTTTACAACTTTGTTGTGTTTTGACAATATTTTTTATAAAAAAAAAATATATATATATATATATATATATATATATATATATATATATATATATATATATATATATATATATATATATATATATATATATATATATATATATATATATATATATATATATAAACTATATTAACTGCTTCTTCAGACCAGTATATTTTATCAAAGTGGCAATGAAACTGAATACAACTCAGATTTGTTAAATTTTTCTAACCATATGCGCAAGGAGATGCACGAGGATGTAATTAGGTATTTAAATATTGCATAAAGATTAATTTATTAAGATGCATAATAGGTTGAAATAATAAATTGCTTGAAGATGGATAGGTCATCCATTATGTTTTCCGTATCTATTTTATTTTCGCTCCAGTTGGACATCTATATCTATACTTGGATATCTATTTCCATAAATAAAGCATATCCAATTATCTCCACATAAGTTACCCATATCGCGTCTTCAAGCATTTTAGTTTTAAAAGTATGCGTTAGAATTGACATATTCAAATATCCAGTTATTCCATCCTATATTTTGTAACACATATGGTTAACAACTTTGTTTCTATTTTGCCTATGTTCATCTTCATTTAAAAAAGCAGTTTTTATCTCCTTTAAATCTATGGGTTTCCCTTGGACAAAGAGTTAGGTTCATGTTTCCTACAGCAACATTGTGTTTCCTAACGATT